TTCCTGTGACGGTCTCTGTCAGTTGCAAAGAGAAATTTCCTTGATGAGGGCTCTTTGAAAAGAAACTAAAGAAACCCAGAGTCAGGTGCATCGGATCTTTACCAGGTGGCTGTTTTGTTGTTGTTGTTGTTGTTTGTTTGCTTGTTTGTTCATTTTTCTCATTTCCATCCTTTAGGTAATAATGCGTTCTCATTTCTTATAAACACACTTAAAACTTTAAGCCCATAAACATGAAATTTAAAAAAAAAATCTTAGAAGAGTAGTTCTGGAAGACCTAACACAAAGCCGTGTGATTCAGAGGGCATTGATACAGATAGGTAAGTAAATAACCTTATTTAGAGAATAAAAGTAATAACATAAACTAGCATCACTTAATTCCATTTGTGGGGCTGGAGAGATGGCTCAGAGGTTAAGAACATTATCTGCTCTTCCAAAGGTCCTGAGTTCAATTCCCAGCAATCACATGGTGGCTCACAACCATCTGTAATGGGATCTTGTGCCCTCTTCTGGCCTGCAGGCATACACACAGACAGAATATTGTATACATAATAAATAAATTAAATACTTTTTAAAAAATTAATTTCATTTGTTTTTTTGAAAAGATATGTAAAAATATCAGTGTGTGTGCATGCACGCACGTGCATATGTGTGCACGTTCACATGTACAAGCACTTACAATTATTGATTTAGCACCCCGATTTAGGACAAAATTCTTTTGTCATGAAACTGTCACGTCATACTGACAGTGAAACAGATCTTCCAGGTAATTCTTTCCTAAACACGGAGTCCTGAAAGAACATACAAAGCAGCATTCAAGAGCTGCAGTGAGCGGTGACGTCCTAGTCCCCGTCCTCCTCCCAAAGAAAGAATGGTTCCTGCCACCCAGCATAAGCCCCCCACAATGCCCTGCTCTACCTCTTCCAAGCAGTGTGGGTCACACGTTAACTGGGTCCACACAAAGGAAGTGTGACGACTGTCACTGTAGCAAGCATAAGCCGTGGATTCACTCAGCCTGCCTTCTCACCTACGCCAGCCCTTCCCTTCCCTTGACGAACCTAAAAGAGGCACCTTGTGTGTTTCCTGGGCTCTACAAGGGAGCCCCTCTGTGTTGTTGCAGAGGCCAATAAGTCTCTGGCCTGAAGGACAACCCCCGCCCCCGCCCCAGTACTCAGCCTCCTTGCCCTCTCTAAAACCCAACTCAAGAGACTTCTGGAGGAAAGAGCTGTCCCTGAATGACTTTATATCCATTATTTCCACGGTAACAGGCTTTCCGTTGGTTCCTCATTTACTGTCTGCCGTTCATTTGGCCTTCTTCAAAAGCTCTTAGATTTCGGTGTGAATCTATTCGGACTTACCAGTTTATCAAGTTGTGGGGGCATGTGCATCTTTTTAAAAACAGCTCTACGTAATTTCTTTACAAATTGCAATAATTTAAACAAGCCAAATACTTACTTTGAGAATTATTGACTATGTTGAACTGTCACCAAGAAGATGAGTTGTATCTATGTGTACTGCCTTACCCACCCCCAACAGCTGCACAAAAAGCAACTGTTTAGTTGTATAAATGTCCTTGTGTCCTTTTTCTTGGACATTTTTACTTCCTTTTTACCTTAGGGGTATGTTTTATGGTTTAGGCTAAATCCCAGAGAAATTGAGATTTGTATTTAGAATACTACAGAATTTAATGCAAAACCGGAAGGTGTTACTGGCATTAGGGTCCAGGCTGCCCTCCTCCTGAAGGCTAATATAGACTCCAGAGTTTGTGGGGAAGAAATTGGCTTATGCATAGGTGGCCATGAAGAAGATAAGATGTGGGACTTAGCTCCTCAATGCTCTATGTTCAAGGTTTGGGGAATTCAGGGAGCTTGTCTAGAGAGGGAAAGGAAAAGGCCAGGGAAACCATAGGCTGAGAGGGGGTCTTTGTCATTGAAGGTATGTCTTTTCCTTCTTTACAACTTTCCAATGGAAGTTTATGGAACCAAAGCCTAGGGTAGCGGGCAGCACTACAATGATGCCGTGATACTTTGGGTCCTGGGAACCTAAGGGAAGGTTTATCAGTTAATATCATGGCCATCCTGGTGAAACATTTCCTTAGAATACAAATGCCAGGCAAGAGCGAGGAGCTCTCAACCTTCCAGAATGGTGAAGGACAGAAAAGGAAAGGGGAGAAGAAATGAAAACCCTTTTGCCAAGGTCAGCTAACCAGGAAATGGGTGAGGTTGAGTGAGGGCTTCTTTGATCGGGAAGGTGTTTCCTAGCAGATCCAGTCAGCTACTCCCTAGAAGTACCACACAGAGAAATTTGAGGAAGTTTGAAATGAAAAAGAGGTAAGGCAAAAAATCACAAACCAAGTTTAATCCTTTCATCCCAGTGGCTTTAGATCCGCTCCTTCAGGTACTGCAGAGTTCTGTCCTTTCATGGGCTTGAATCTGTAAAGCCATAACGCCGCGTCTGCCCATGACTGAGTCCCGAGACAGGGTGAGCAGCAAGCATCACTTAGGTGCGGCTCCTGGCACAGGATGGCACAACTCTTGCCTCTCCGGTTGAGACCCCATTGGAAAAGCCTCCGCTGTCACACGTCCAAGTTGAGCAGACATAACAAAGAGTTCCTCCGAAAGCTTATTTATCAGCACCGTCGTCAGTACTGTGTCGGGCAAGATAGTGTTGGAAATTAATATACTATTTGAGTAGACTGATTGATGGCTCCTATGGCGGAAGAGTTTAACATTCACTAGCTATACCGACTGGTCATTAGTCCTTCCCTTTATCAGTAAGCAAAGAATAAACAGAAATTGTAATAAAAATTCATCACAGCGAATGGGTATCTAAGCGGCTGTGATAACTGGCCGTGTACCAGATTAACTGCTAGAACACGGGCAGCAGGAAAGATCTCTGTTAGAAAAGATTTCAATAGCCTCTAATTGATGTTTGCCTTATACCCGGACTCTCTTAAACTAAACCTAGTTGTACAGAGAATCTCTTGCAAATCCACGATAATAAAGCACTAAATGGCTGTTGTACACTTACTGTGTTTGGGAGGCGTACTCTAACTATCGGCTATAGGAAGGACGGGGCTTTGAGAATGTGTTCCAATGTGCTCCAGGTGAGGTTATCTTCCCGCCTCTGAAGAATGGAAGCACCTCGGCGGCCGAGATAACCTGACTTGTAATGAGAAAACTCTGGCTTGTTAAAGGACTCGCCCCCTCCTTACCGATCAGATCACGAATTAGTAAATTAGAAGCCATGGTGAGAAGGAGATGGCCACGGAGGAGGCGCAAGGAGCTTGTGAGCAATTCTGCCCGTGGTAGGAGTTAGTTGCCAAATATAGGTTGCTTCCCTGGGGACTTAGAATTATTTCGCATTCCATCCAAAGAATGATTCTGAAAGATCCAAAGAGCCATGTCTATTTTATATGTGATGGTATTGATGGCTCGAAAGCTTAACTAGCAGGGAATAAAGCTGGTGAGCAGAGTCGGGCCATCAACTAGTCTGCTAGTTCTGGAGTCATATCCAGGCATCTTCCTCCTCAGCATAAGCGCACGTGGAACTGAGGTTGTTCTTTATGGTTCAATGGTAGAAGAGGCCGTCAGGGCCCACAGTGCCCGTGTCACCTTCCTTGGCTCTACAATGTGATCAGATTCTGGATGACAAGTGAGGATGCTGTGGGAGCCCATTTAATGGCTACATCTCAGGATTTACATAAATGGCGGTAAAACATCCCAGAGAATATTGAGGTCCCATGAAGGGAGGCAGAGAACAGCTACGAGGGTATCTGGGCCACGGCATCCCTGGGGGTCAGGAACATCTTTAGATAGTTAGCATGTGGGACTGGAAGAGTCTTCTCGTAAGGAACATAGGCAGGATCAATAGCGATGGCTAACAAAAGTCAAAGAGAAATCTCTCTCCCAAAGAGAGAATGAAGAAGAAAGGGACCGAGGAAGCAATGGCTAAGAAACTGCCCTGGAATTGTCAGCAAGATGCCAGTGTTGCTCATCTTGGGTCTAACGTGTGGCAGAGACGAGTTCTCATGGCAGAACCTGGGAAATAAAGAAAGAGAAAGGTGTGTGTACTCTGATCTAGGTTCTCAGGTAAATGGGAATTTAAGTGGAGAACCCAGAAATCGAGGCAAGAAGGTTGCAATGCATAACTACAGGCCGTATTCGACGACAGATTCAGGAAGTAAACAAAATGAGAATAAATGTACTCTGAGGAACTTCATGGACTCTTTAACCTTCATATACTAGATAGTTTTTAACGCTTTTTGTTGCTTTTGAATAACACTACTAAAATATCTAACAAATAATCTCAGGGAAGGCGGATTTCTTTTGGTTCATAGTTTCCAAGGAACACATTCACGGTCACTTGACCCCATGTCCTTGGGCATGTGCAGAGGACTGTTATCTGCTCTGCTGTGAAGAAGTAGCAGAGAAAGGAGCAGGGACAAGATCTTCCCAAAGACCCACTTCAAGTGACACATTTCTTCCAGTTAAACCTTTCCCACAAAGCTCTCCAGAAGCTCCCAAAATTGTGTCATCAAGTGAGGGCCACACTTTCAAAACATGAGCCCGTGTGACAGATTTCATATTCAAGCCACAATGGCCAACCCAAACCAAGATTTAAAATATAGTACAATCAACAGGAAATGGCGAGGTCCGTGAAGGAGCATGTGATAGTTGTGTCTTACATGTGAATGTGTGTTAACGCCTCAGTGGCAATCGTTGTTGATAGAAGAGCTGTCCCCACAGTGTCTGGATAGTATTTCAAGGAGAGACAGAGTTACTGATGCTGCCACCCCCAACTTCTGCTTCAATTTTATTTTCTAATTTTCAATAATAGATAAAAGTTCTCCACTATGTTCTCTAATTTCTTTCTCCTCTCTCTCTTTCCCTCCTCTCTCTGTCTCTCTCTCTCTCTCCCTCTCCCTCTCCTTCTCCCTCTCCCTCTCCCTCCCTCTCCCTCTCCCTCTCCCTCTCCCTCCCTCTCCCCTCCCTTCTCCACAGGAGTCTTTGAATGTGATTGACCCTGGATTAATGGACCTGAATGGCGTGAGTGAAGACGCCCTAGAGTGGGATGAGACAGACATAAGTAACAAGCTAATTAGTTTGCACGAAGAATCAAACGACCTTGATCAAGACCCAGAGCCCCTCATACCCTCAGTGAATCTTGAGGAGACACGCCACCAGGACCCTGGGTATGAGGAGGAGGCAGGTGACTGTGGGTCCCAGTATACCTCAAACATCACGGCACCCTCCAGCCCACACGTTTACCAAGTGTACAGTCTTCACAACGTTGAACTCCACAAGGACAGCCACACTTCGTTTCTGAAAAGCAGCCCAAAGCTTACAGGCCCGGCCCAGCCTGGTGTTTTAACTAAGAGCCTCAGTACGGATTCTTCATTTTCCTCTACAAAGTCGTTGCCAGATCTTTTAGGGGGCACAAGTTTGGTGAGGCTTTGCCCATGTCACAGTGGAGACGTGAGCCAGAATTCGGGCAGCGAGAGTGGAATTGTCAGTGAAGGAGACAATGAGATGCTTACCAACTCTGAAATGTGTTTGTTCGGGATGGTGGATGGGTCCCCAAGTAACCCTGAAACCGAACATCTGGACCCACAAATGGGAGATGCAGTCAACGTGTTAAAGCAAAAATTTAAAGACGAGGACGAATGCATTAAGCTTCCAAATATCTCTCAGTCCTCCGTCTCACCAGCGGGTTGTGTAAATGGAAAAGCTGGAGATTTAAATAGCGGTACCAAACACACCACCGATTGTTTAGGAGAAGAATTACATGGAAAACATGACGTGTTTACATTTTATGATTACTCATACCTCCAAGGCTCAAAACTCAAATTACCAATGATAATGAAACAGTCACAGAGTGAGAAGGCACATGTGGAGGATCCCCTTCTCTGTGGCTTTTATTTTGATAAAAAATCCTGCAGATCTAAACATCAGGCTCCGGAGTTACAACCAGATGCGCCTCCCCACGAGAGGATTTTGGCAAGCGTGCCCCATGAAATGGGTCGTAGCTCATATAAAAGCGGCGACAAAGAGAAGACACTGGCGGGCATTCCGAATGCCAGGCAGCTCTCCCTCGTCTCCCGTAGCTCATCTGTAGAGTCCCTTTCTCCGGGGGGTGACTTGTTTGGGTTAGGGGTCTTTAAAAATGGCAGCGACAGTCTCCAGCGGAGCTCCTCTTTAGAGAGCTGGTGGACATCCTATAAGAGCAACGAAGATCTTTTCAGCTGTCACAGTTCCGGGGACATAAGCGTGAGCAGTGGCTCAGTTGGTGAGCTGAGCAAGAGGACATTAGACCTCTTGAATCGCCTGGAGAACATCCAGAGCCCCTCGGAGCAAAAGATAAAGCGGAGTGTCTCTGATATCACCCTCCAGAGCAGCTCCCAAAGGATGTCTTTCACGGGCCAGATGTCACTGGATGTCGCGTCCTCTATCAATGAGGACTCGGCAGCATCTCTGACAGAACTGAGTAGTAGCGAGGAGCTCTCGCTTTGCTCGGAGGATATCGTGTTACACAAAAACAAGGTCCCAGAGTCCAACGCATCATTCAGGAAGCGCCTGAATCGCTCGGTGGCTGATGAGAGTGATGTCAACGTTAGCATGATTGTTAACGTCTCTTGCACCTCTGCTTGCACCGACGACGAAGATGACAGTGACCTTCTCTCGAGCTCCACGCTCACCTTGACTGAAGAAGAGCTGTGCCTCAAAGACGAGGACGATGACTCCAGTATTGCAACGGACGATGAAATTTATGAAGAAAGCCACCTGATGTCTGGGCTGGACTACATAAAGAAAGAATTGCAGACTTGGATAAGACCGAAGTTTTCCTTGGCAAGAGAAAAGAAACGGTGTGGTGCCCCCGATGAAATAAAGGGTGATAAAGATGGGGGCCGCAGTGAGAAGGTCAACCCCTCAGACACCCTGAACATCCAGGCCCTTCTGAATGGCTCCATAAAATGTCTCTCTGAAAACAATGGAAATGGAAGGAATTCACCTAGAACTCATGACTTAGGAACAGAAGGTGAAAACAAGAAAAATATTTACGAAGTTAGTAAAGATCCCCTCGTGGCTGACATGGAAAATGGCAATATTGAAAGTGCTCCGGAGAGACAGAAGGAGAAGCAGAACGGAACTTCAGAGGCATCAGAGAACCTTGATTTAGACATGAAACAGAGTTCTGAATCCGAGCGCAGTGAGTGTAGAGCATCAATGGACAGTTCAGAGGATTCAAATGTTGCTGGAAAGGAATTCGGACCCCCAAGTGACAGGCATCTTCCACAGACAGGCCCAAATCTCCACCATTGTGAAAATGAAAGTGCCCCCTGCATGCCCGATGAGAGCCCATGCCCAGAATTGCTGTCGGGAACCAGAGTTGGAAGCAGACAGGACAGTGATGGACTGAAAGCTTTGTATAATGATGCACCAAGTGGGGCTGGAAAATCTGCTGGTTGCTGCCTACTCGGACAAAATGAGACAGAGGAAAGTGCTTCTATCAGCAACAGCACTTCCTGTTGCAACTGCCAGCCAGATGTTTCCCATGAAAAAGATGCTGAAGATTGTTCAGTGCACGACTTTGTGAAGGAAATCATTGACATGGCGTCCACAGCTTTAAAAAGTAAATCTCAACCTGAGAGTGAGGTGGCGGCCCCCACTTCACTAACTCAAATTAAGGAGAAAGTGCTGGAACATTCCCATCGGCCCATGCCCCTGAGGAAGGGGGACTTCTACTCCTACTTATCTCTTTCATCCCATGACAGTGACTGTGGGGAGGTCACCAGTTACATAGACGAGAAGAGCAGCTCTCCACTGCCACCTGATGCTGTGGACTTTAGCCTCGATGACAAGGAAGACATCGAATGCTTCTTTGAAGCTTGTGTTGAGGATGATCTTGATGAGAAAGCCTGTTTCTCTAGTCCCCTTCCAGATGAACCAGCAGCTCCCGGGGAAGCTGCTCTGCCAATACAAGTGACAGCCAGCTCTCCTGTGTTCAGTGACGTTGCTTTCCCGCTCAATGAAACAGACGCGGTGGCTCTTTCAGGACCTTCCCCTCAGAAAGGAGGTGACAATGGAAAGGAAGTGGACGATGCATCCCAAACACCCCAGGGCTGTGCAAAAAGCTCAGAGCTTACCACTCCTTCAGGACAGCCCAGTAAAGATGGAGGTGCCAGGAACCAAGGTGAATCAGGAATGCCGGAAGGCAGTAACACTACTTCAGCCAAATCAAAAATTCAAGCTCTCCCATTGAATGCAAAACAGCCAAAAGTCAAGACCAAGCTGTATCCCAGCCCGCAAACTTTAACCTGTAAAGAAAAGCTTGTAAACTTTCACGAAGATCAACATAGAAACATGCATAGGTAGAATGTAATGCCCCCAAGCATGGAAATCATCTCATTGAAAGGTATGTACGAGTACATGTGTGCGCGCGCACGTGTGTGTAGTGTGTGTGTGTGTGTGTGTGAGTTTGCATTAATAGAGCCATTAGAGAACACTGACTAGTCACGACACATACATATCTGAATAGGACATTTAAGTAGAAACGCTTACAACCATGAAAGTAACTGTGAAAAGCAAAAGAGGAAAACTGGTGAAAATTTGACATTTTAAATGACATTATATTTGTTTTATCATTTTGTCAAGAGCAATACAATATCTGAGGAAACAGCTGATCAGTTTTAGGGCTTCAGACTCTTCAACTGGCCGAGAAAACTACTATCCAAGCCACAGCCATCCCTGACAATTCTGAGGTGGGAATGCACGCTCCGCAGCTGCTCTCCTCCCTGGAGCTCCCCCTCGGTACTCCTGCTCATGAGCAAGGACTGGGGCAAGGCTGTGTCTCCAGAGCTGAGCTTTCCACACATAACCGCTGGCACCCTCATTTCCCCCAGAAGGGCCGTGCTGTCTCAGCTCCTAATCAGAGCCATGCCTGAGAATTCCAGCAGCAGGGGAAGGCTGGTTTCAAAGAAGATCCCCTGACTTCCACACACGCAGACTGGGAACCAGCGCAGAACACAAGGGCTGGGAGAATATGTGACAACTTAATGGCGTTTTGATAAAAACAGAATTTTTGAATTTTGCCTGAAGGTGACAGGCTGATTGCCATCATTTTTTTTTGAGAAAGTCATTCTACTTTTCATATTTAATAAGACAGCTATTGATTGATAATTCCGGGATGGTGAGATGGCTCTAAAAAGAGACACAAGGATTCAGTTATTTCCGTTTCTAAACCCCAAATGACGAATGTACTTCCTCGATCAAGTTTAAAGAGGAATTTAGCTTTCAAATATGAGAGTTGTATTTCGCCAAAGGGTGAGGTGCATAGTGCCACCTCCACCCCCACTGCAGAAACCTAATGCGTAACCTACACTCGTGCTATAGGAAATGAATTACAGAAGCAATCTACCCTAATTTGTTAACTTATTCAAATAACAGTTATTATACTTAACTATGCTAAAGATTATCTTTTTTGTGGCAGATTGTTTATTTTTTGATGAGCCTAATTACTGATTTTCTAAAAGTAATTTACATTTATTACAAATACATCTTTTAAAATGTGACAGATAAATGTTGTTCCCATAATGTATTATGAAAAAAGTTACTATTTAAAAACACATTATTTAATTTGAAAGATGAATGGCAAACATCATTATTTTTTTTCCTGCAACACCTGTGCCCTCAGCTCATTAAAATGTGTGATTCTGTGTAGAACTGCTAGAAAGGGGAGCGAGGGGGGCAACCTATACCATATATGTACCCTAAAAATAAACTCAGTATGCAAAGCTGAAGACAGCCACCCTACTTACTAATGGCGCTTCACTAATTTTCTATTTCAGACCCTATTTACAATTGGCTGCGAGGGAGAACAAAAGTAGGAGAGAGAGAAATGTGTTCTCTGTGAGTGGTGCCCACCCTCTAATCAAATCCTCCATCAGTGCGCAGTAAAACTGACCATTAAGGGAAAGTAACTGGGATTCCATAAGCTACTTCAGAGCGAGTTCTGTTAGAACTGATTGGATGCAGGCTCTGCCCGCCTCCACAGAAGGCACGGAGAGCTTGGCTGATTTTGTTTTCTGAAAAGGGGAACAACAGCACCCTGAGCATGCCAGCCTGTGACTGTGACCCGAGTCACCAGGCCTACCCAGATGCAGAGCAGAGAGAGCCCAGGCCTTGGAGAAGCCCTGTTTGCTCCTCCGGGAGTCTCTTCGCTCCCTCACTGGAGAGATGGAATGGAAATGAAATGTAAATGATGAGCGATTCCATTTTTTGACTTGAGGGAAGTGAAGGTGCTGATGGATCTGTGTAATTGTCACATTTTACAAGCACAGACAGTGTAAAACTATCAGTGGCTTGCCTGCCCGGCAGCAGGGTTCTCTTGCACCCCACACCGGGGGGCTCCGCTGTGGGCGAAGGAAGAAGCAGCCAGATTTTACTTCTGCAGAACTGACATCGCCCCCAAGTGACTTGTTACCTACCTAGAGCTGTGTCAGCAGCCATATGTGGCCCCTATTATCCACTTTCAAGGATGTGTGTGTGTGTGTGTGTGAGCACGTGTAAGTGCATGCATATGTGTATATACACGTGCGTGCGTGTGTGTGTGTTGTGCGTGCGCGCACTGTGGTATCATATAACTAAACACCCTGGATCCTGGCTTTGGGGCTAGTTACAAGCATTGGGTGTAAACTTTCACATATAGTGGAAACAGTCCCTCCCGAGAAGTTACCTAGTCTGAAAATGCTGCTAAGCTTTTGGCACTTGATGTCAGGAAGCGTAGGAAAGGGCCTGGTAAATATGACACATCACATCGGAATGAGCTTGTTTGTAATCGTTCTTCTTACTACAAGGTCCAAAGCAGTGAAGGCTCTTCTTTTTAACAGCCATTCGAGGACCTTAGACAAGACCGTCCTTGCATCAGGACAGCACAATTCACCAAAGTCAGTTTGCTGGAGCTCTTTGCCCAGAAATAAATTCTCAGATGATGAAGTGATTATAATTCCACTTGAAAGTATTCATGACATAGAATCACGCATAGAGTCTGCAACCGGAGCAAATTCTTTGCGAAGAGTTTTGAAAATTACTTTGTTTACTATGTTCAAAGTAGAAACCTCTGAACCCTTGTGAGAAGCATTAGCAGGGCCCAACAGTGAGTGCGTTTGCACTTCTTCCCAGGCAACACCGCTGGGCTTTTCACTGGTTCCATTTGTGTGTCGCGTTTCTGTAAAAATAGAGAGGTCAGTTAGAGCAAGTCACATCAAAGGCGAGGTGACTGGAGAGATGCAGCTCTTTCTGCTAATTTGGAGGAAGCACACAGTGTATGTCTGGAACGCCTCCTAGGACCTGCCTAAGAGAGGTACTCTGCGCTAATCTTTTTGCTATATTCTGACAGTTATTTCTTCATAATCCTCATCATAAGCCTGTGATCTTTGATGAACGGTTTAACCCTAAAATTCAGGCAGGCTAAATCCTGCCACGTAAGAAGTTAACTCCTCACGTGCAGCCAGGGTGTACTTTGATGTCTTCTCCTTCAGGTTTTGTGATGGCTTGATGTGTACACGGTGTGTGTGTGTGTGTGTGTGTGTGTGTGTGTGTGTGTGTGTGTGTGCAAGTGACAAGAGGGGGGTCTTAATTGCTTTCTTTGGTCTTAGTTTCATTGTCTTGCCTGCTTTATCTGTCTGCAAGTGTGGCTGTGGCCGGAGTTTCAGGTTTTGGATGACTGTTAATTGGATGCGTATTCAGGTTTGCACATGTGCAGTTTAAAGTTCTTGTCTGCTTTCATAAACCGAGAACGTGGTAGAAACAAACCCTTTTCACACGGTGCCTCAGCCTCCTACTGAACTGGCGCTGGTTAGGCCTGGCCAAACAGCTTTAGGGAACTCCATTGGGGGCATGTATATTATTCTTTCACTAGACACCATGTGTATAGTTTTGTAAAATTTACCTTTAAATCGCCTTACTTAACCGAGGCTCTTCTGGATGAGAGTTGAATTATCTGGCACATCTGAATAACTTACCATGCAAAATAAAATTGATTTTATTGAATAAAGTCGTCTGTCTCTCTCACACACACACAGGGGGGGGGAGGAAGAGAGAGAGAGAGAGAGAGAGAGAGAGAGAGAGAGAGAGAGAGAGAGAGAGAGGAGATATTTGGGCTTGAGCCCATTTGGCCTGCCTATTCCCAAGTGTGCCAAGTTGAAAGAATTGATCACCCACAGGGAATTCAATTGCCAGCTCTTTATTGAGACAGGATTTGCTCCACCCGAGGATTCCCTGCTCGGTGGCAGCTTTTGATGAGTCACCTCCTCAGCATTTGAGCAATGCTGCTCTGTGCGTTCTTGAATTACTGCATTATTTTACTGTACCAAATTCTGTTCCATCTGCCTCCATCTGTCTCCCCATTCCTGCTAACTTCCCCTAGCTTCCCAACATCCTGTTTGGCTGGAGCGGAACAACGGTTGGAAAACTCTTTCTGACTCCTGCACAAAGTTGTAAGTTTATAGAAAGAGACAGAAAAAAACACAAAAGAATACTTGCTTCTAAGAGGTCAGGACAAAACCTGATAGAGCGCTGCAGAATGTAGATTAAAGCCAGGCAGGCAGGGGCCTGCATTGAACGCTAGTCTGAGAACCTAAAGTAGTTGTATCCTGGAATTTTGATGTTGTTCCGATTTGACCAGGTGCTATAGCCATTTAGAAATAAGGAGGACAGAATGAGCCTGGGACGAATTCATAGCAACCATCGCACATAAAAAGAGAATTGAATCAGTCTAGTGTTCTCATTGTTTCCTGTGCCTAAAAATGAACCACAGTCATGTTTGAGCTGTAAATTCTAAGTATACCCAATTATAGGTGAGGCGCTAAGGCATTTAAGACTGTTGCAATTTTGTGACTGTTTTATCACTACTCGATAGAACTGTCCAACATCACACACAAATTACTGAAGGGCGTGCTAACCCGAGAGCCGGCAACCCGGTCTGTGAACTGTTGTTGGCACATCGTCACATCCCTTGGTATAAACTGCCTGACCTTCTCATGCAGATGTGGGACCATCTTAATAAAAGTGAGATCACCCACAGAAGAATGAATGAGTGATGACTCAGAGAAAAGATGATATACTTGATTTTTGTTATTTATTGGAACCATATAAATATATTAAAGTATCTGAACGTCTTGCTGAACTAAAAATGTAGGGTTTTTTTGTATGTGGTTTGAGCCTTGAGCTAGTGAGCTAGTCATGTCTCTGATTTCAGATCTTTAGCAACTGGTCCCTCACTGGCAGCTTCCTGAAAGGGCTTCATCCTGCAAATGACAGAGGTATTTCTGCAACCTATTCCTGTCGCCTTTTTGTTTTCTAGAGTGAGCCTGGCTGCCGCCCAGGGCTGGCCTGATCTACCCTGGGCTGGTCTTGGCTTCCGTCCTGCTGTCCTGACACCTGTCACATTGACTTTCTGAAGATGACCCACCTTTCCTCTGAACGGTCTGTCCGTGTGGGCCCTGTGATCTGGATGTGTGCATCGCTTCTCTTTAGCTGACCTCTCATGTCTACACAGCTGCTTGCTCTCCTATGGATTCCCGTCCCAAGCTACCTCTGCCAACCCTCTCTCTCCAGCGAGACCTCTGTTTGCCACCTCCTCTCCTGCCTCCCCTTTCAAGCTCTGCAGTTCACCACATTGGTGGTCCATTAAACCCACTGTCTAGAATGGCACCCCTCCCCGCCAGTGCTTGACCAATTTGATGTTTTGCTCTGAAATTTTCCATGGTATTAATTTTTGTTTATTGGAAGAGATCTACCTAAAAAGCCAGCCCTTGATTTGGTTGTGGTATAGAGGAGACATATTGGTCCTTGTTACAAAATTAAATGACATTAAAAAGCATCATTTTAATTATTTCTTTTTAATAATGTTCTATGCAGCACTTCACAGAACAACTCTGATGGTGTTGTATATTGTAAATTGGTACACTCTACTGCTGTTGTTTTTTGTTTTGTTTTGTCTTCTATGCTTCTCGGGGTGGTAATGAGAAAAATGTTGTTTTACAAACTGTGTGCCTTGCTGTCTTTCTTATCCCATTTATGAAAAAGCTGCTTTCATGGTAATGGTATGTTGGTCTGAGAGGAGGAAATAGCAAGGTGAGGATTGTGAATAATTTCTGTACATATGTATAAGCTAGTACAAACACTGATGTATGACAGTATAAAATGCTTTCATGTTTGTGACGTCCAGTGATGTGGAGAATATAAGCCTTAAATCCATTCAAATGCATGGTAATTAAAATTGGCATAATAAAAACAGCGTATTGGGGGAAAGGAAAATTAATGATCTCTTCTACCTGTGTTCTTACCAAATTCCTGCATCTGTTTCTGAAAAAAAAAAAAAAACATGTATCAGCTTCCAACATATCCATACGGCAGAAAAGGCTTAAGTTGCTTAAACTGCAGACTCGGCCTGAAGCCTTCATAACGTTCAGACTCTTTCTGTTTCACTGTAAGTGGACATCCTGAAACAGCAAGTGTTTAAAGGCCATTTCCCCTACATCAAAAACCCTTCATACTAAATGCTTCTGTTTCTACTTGTTAATGATTTCAAGTTGTCTTTGGAGATCTCTTACATGTCCTATTTTATTTAAATAATTATTTGAATGGTTTTGGTGGATGATAAAAAGTATAGAAAAATTGACTATTATTTTATCTAAACTATAGATTTCAGGTGTATTTATTTCATTAAGAAAATCAGCAGAGAAATATTTCATTTGTTTTTTTTTTTTGACTTGAGAAACTGCAGCTTTTTAATTTATAGTTTCACTCCTACTAAAGTGCCTGACACACAGTAGGTATTCTCCAGAATCTGCTGAATCAGAGTATCGAGTGGGGTAACGTGGAATATATATATATATATATATATATATATATATATATATATATATATATAAAATCTTTATTTTGAGATTCCTGCATTAAAACACACGATAAAGATGTGCAAAGCGAAACCACTCGCAGTATGTTATTAGATTTCAAAAAGAACACGACAGGAGTATGTAGCCACAGAAATGACAATCATTCATTCACCAGGACCACCCATTAGCGTCTTTGCTCGAGATTCAGGGAATGCAGCTAGGAACCATGAACTGCCTTTGGTTAGAGGCAAAATGGCCCACCACACAGACAACACACCATAGTGTCCTACAGGGAGATGGCAAGGTTAGGGAAAGAGGCATACGAGAGAGACAGCAGCAAGGGACGGGGCAAAGAGAAAGGTTAGGAGAGAGTGGAGGTGAGAGGCTAGGATACCGGCGGGGGTTCACTATGATGATGAGAAAAGGACAAATGGAGAGGAATGGAAGTGTTCGCGGAGTTGTTGGAGCTTTGGAGTGCAGTGCAGTGTACGAGGTGGACTTGTCGTTTGTTTGAGGCTTTATTTTATGTTACGACTAGGACTTTAGTATCACCATCCCAGGACCACTTAAATAGCACTTGTCTGTAATTTCACCGGGCCTTAATACTTTTGTGTGGGTTTTGCCCCTTCCAAGCTTTCCTGCACATATTTTTTAATGGATGGCTCATTCTAGGTGCATAGATATGTAGTGACTTCTTCCAAAGGAGTCTTAGGGAGACATCTAGTTTTAGTGTGGACAAGGATTGCAAGGGGAGATGTTAGAGTAAGTGTGTGGTAGGGAGCAGTGAGGAAAACCTAGCTAGACTCAAGGCAGTAATAAAGTTTGCAGGGATAGTAGCCTGAGATACAAGAAAGACAAAATCCCAGAGGCGTGGACATCTTTGGACATTTTTGGACATCTTTTAGGCATTATTTTATATATTGCGACAACCTGAGTTTCTCTTGGTCAGTAATTGATATCGTCTGTGTTCATTGGGAAGACATTCAAAGATTAATGGGCCAAGGTGTATTGTTTGCCTCTTATGTAGTCATGAAGACTTGGGATTTGAAAGTATTTATTAATTATCTACTTAACATTAGCACCAATCTTTTTAGGTTGACTTTTGGACTTATTAATGCCTTTTCCAGTCAGAGGGGATGGAAGAAACGCTACCTTCCAAGTTACCCTTGAAACCAGCCCATCTGGTTTGTATTAACTCAGACAACTCTATCTACACGTGTCCCGCGATAACGGTTTGCTGTTTGGTAAAGCGAAGTGTCCCTCCTCTGGGCACATGTTTCTGTTAGAATGTGCTTTCGTGGGTTGCTAACGTCCACAGGGTGTCCCTCTCCACCCCCCTCTCAGTTTGGCTCATTGGTCCTATGTCTGCTGCAGAGCCAGCAGCCCACAGGACTCCTGTTCCCTCTGTCCCATGGTCGCCCTGCCGGTCTCTTCTAAGCACTGTTCCTCCGACTGCCCTTCATATGTCATGATTTCAGGTCCGTTTCAACCCGAACTGAATGTTAACAGACGGAACCCTTGAAGTCAAGGGACCGGCTCCATCATACATGTAGAGAAGCATCTTGACGTTTAAGTGCTAAGTTTTCTCTAAAATATATTCAAGATATATGTTTATTCTATTATTGTAAATTTCAATAAATAAACAAATAAACAAGTGAATAAAAGAAGAATCCATGACTTCCTTCAGTGGTCCAGTCCGGTGCCAGAGTCATCTTGAATCTCTTCCTTATGTTGGGATCCGAACCTGACGTCTCCATGTAAAACAGATTTGCCCGTCCATTTATTCACTCGCTTATTCTTCATTCCGGCACCCAAATATTCCTTGGAGGGCCACTTGTGTGAGGCATTGTGTGACCTCGGCATACATAGGCAACTGAACATGTTGTGTGTCTCCAGCCAATTTACAGGTTTCTCTCTGACCAGACTCTAGACCAGTTATGACATTTCCCCAAATTAATTTTCCTCAGATCTACTTACTTTGCCTCTTATCTAGTCTGTCTACATTTTCAAGGGTCAGATGAGCATATGGTCTGGGTTGGACTGTGAGGAAAAGAGTGGTTTTCATTTCAAAGGGGAATATTAATTTTTAGATTGTTGTTGTTGTTCGACAAATCTGCATACAAGAGGATCTAGGCCTGCCACAGCCCGGTTTGGAATATTTTGTTGCCTGACTCAGTCAGCTCAGGTTTCAGACGTTCTGCAGTAGTTGAGAACAAAGCAGATGGAGGCAACAAATGGGCCACACTGAGCTCACTTATGAATGAAATTGAAATATGCTGGAGCTTTGCAGAGTAACTGACCTTCAAGTGTTGTAACTTTTACATTCAAAACAACTTGGACTGCCAAGTCTTACAGCTCTATCTCTTTTCATGTACACACAGTCTTTCCAACTTCTGTTTGCTAATTTCAGACCTTCGGAAGAGCCAAATGGTAGAGGATAATGTCTGTATACTTACAATTCAGATATATTTATTGTTAGTATTTTATATCTTTTCCCTCCATCTTCACACCACACATACAAACACACACGAACACGCACACAACCTTCTTGTATGATTGTGCCATTTGAAATTTATTTCTTGAGTACAACACTTCATTTGTAAAGTCTTGAGCTAATATGACCAGGAAAAAAGGTATTTTCTTTAATATCACTTAATAATCCTTAGTAAAATTTCTCCAGTTTCGAGACATGCTCTTTTTTGGGGCCATTACCTCCAGTCTAGTGCCCAAACAATGACCACATAGGCCTTTTAGCTCTGCATCTTATTGATCCTGAATAGTTTTTCTTGCTATAGCTCCTGTTTTTGGTCCTCACCGTCTTGACATTTCTGAAGAGCTCAGATCAGTTTTATAGAACGAGCCACAGCTTGGGTGAGGCCAGGTATCTTCTCACTGTGAAGCTCAGGACGAACTGGCTTTTACAGCTGTGGCTTACCGGTGATGCTGGGTTCAAATCTCCGATGGAGTGCGAGAGGATCACTAACATTCCTGATTCACGTTTTCTTTTATTTTCTAAGACAGAGGTCAGCAGACTATGGCCCATGGGCTTAATTCAACCCAGGGATTGTTTGTGTTTGACCCGGGAGCAAAGAATGACTTTTACCTTTTTATGTGGCTGAAAATTGAGTGTGTTGTGACATGTGAAAATTAAATGAAATTCAAGGTTTTGTGTCTGTGAATAAAGTTTTATTGTAACACAGCCACACATATTGGCTTACATATAGTCACTTTTGCACTTTAACTCCAGAGTTACTTAGACGCAGCAGAAGCTCAGTGGTCAGGGTGTCCGGGGTATTTCCTGTGTGACCCGTTTGCTAATAAACTCACCTTTCATGCTTGGGCTATGGACTTCTAAACTCTGACATAATTTTCTTAGAGGCAGATAGACTGCAGCTTGTAAAGTCAATGGAACATAGAGCATGCAAGTTTTTCTTTCTAGATTTTATTATATTGTCAATTTCAGTTCCGTGCAGAGTGACTTACCCATTGACATCCTTAAGACATAATATTCTATTATTTTCTAAGGCAAAGGTGAGCCAACTATATACAGGCCAGGGACCAAATACATGTTTTCATTTGATTTGTAATTTTAGGAGAACAAAATAGACTTTGTTTCATAAACTAAATGATTGTTCTGCATCAGCAATTTAAGAATTTGAATTTAGTTCACTATTACGGATTGATCTGGAATTTAGTTAGTTATAAATTGGATATTTAGTGCAATCAAAACCACCAGAAAAACTGGTACAACCTAGACTCGATGCATCGATGATTGAGATCTTTCTCTAAGTGTTTTTCTAGAGCATTCTTAAGTATAAAGTCAGGTCATTTCAGTCCCTTTTTTTTCCATATCTTTCTGCCCAAACACATACAGACTCACACACCCATAACTTTCATTCCCTGGTCACAGATGAAAAGCTTGACATGCCCAGGAAATAGGTGTTCAGCTGAGACCCTGCTGAGGTCGTGGCGGACACTCTCACTGTGTAGAAGAGTTCCATGAAGTCAGTCCTGGAGTTCTCTCCTGACTTGCTGCAGGCAGCATTGTCGCATGCAAGCAAGGCATGCGGATGCTTCTGTATAAACAGCCACGTGCTTCCCACACTGCGGCTGCATTAGCACGTGAGGCTCTCCACTGGTTTGCACGTCCAAAGGAAAACGATCTGGTATGCGTAGATGAGGTCCGTGTCATAAAGTTTCCTTAGCAAAGGCATTGCGGCTAACACCTTGAGATCATCGGCTCCCTTAAGGGCTCCCCCAAAAGCAGAAGGCATGCATTTTGTTAACCCTTGTGCTGTGAAGTAAAGCAGGACCTGCGTAAGGCAACCTTCCTCAGGTTCTTTCCCAGGGACAGCATACACACAAAACAGGGACGGCGTTCACACAGGTGAGGTTGTTTTAGTCCACTGACTGCCATAACAAAATACTTTATTTTCTGGGAAATTTGTAAACAAGGGAACTTACAGATAGACAATCTGGAAGTTAGGAAGCCCAAAATCAGGACAACAGAAGATTGAGCGTCTGGTGAGGACATGCTGCTTCAGAGATGGGCCTTTTTATATTTCTTCCTCACAGGGAGGCGTAATTCACGAGCGAGCTCCCTTTTCTAAGGGCAGTTACCGCATTCATAACTAAACGCCCCCCCAAAGACTCATGTCTTAATACTGTTGCACTGGAGATTAGTTTCGAACTTGAGAACTTAGGGATACAGACTATCGGAACACAGCGCAGGCATTTGCCGGCCTTTGGCAATGGTCAATAAATAGTTTCTATTGAGGTTGCTGGCTCTCCTCGAAATCCACTCAAGAAAAGTAACAGGACAGCTGACTGGAACGAAGCTGTTTTAAGGGTAGTTTAAAACTGTCTCATTTGTTCTTTCAAACTTATCCCTTAAGGTTTACATGCTGTTAATAATTAACAACCTTGTAGCATCGTATCTACCACACACTAAATTGGAGGTGTCCCCAAAACCAGGAAGGTTCCCAAAGCACAAGAGA